GGATGTAAAACCACCCAACTACAACAGATATTCCGATGGCGCTAATTATTCCTTTTGGTCCATTCTTATCAGCGTTCTTAGTTTCCTCTGTCTAGAAACAACAATTTAAGGGGAAAAAAATAGAAAAGATTATTTTAGATTCATTCCTCCAATTTTCCATAAAGCAGCAAAAAAGTGAAAAGGGAAGACAATATACCAATGTACTAGTTATTATGCAAGCAAATAATTATATGAGCTCGTAATGCTTTTGAAGAAGGGACTACTTGATTTCAGCAAACTGAATGTTCATGGTTTGAGTTTTGAGTTTATAAGTAATTAAACATATATGCGAAAAGTAACGCAACATCTGAGATTCCCAGGACTGTATTCATAGGGATTAGGACTCCACCTAATACAAAGAGCAATACGACTTACCATATGAGCAGATGCATCATACCCAGTGAGGGTATATTGACTCATCAGAAGTCCCAGAACGAAAATGTAAGCTTTACTATTGATTCCATCCCCATTATCAGTGTTGAAGTGTGTAAACACAAACTTGGCACTAGCCCTCTCCGTTGAAACAAGGGGAATGAGAATCGTAAGAACCATAACCCCTAAAAGTGCAAAGGTTCAGTAAAAATTTTAAAAGGTGGTTGGCTCGAGAGGGAAAAGAGAATCTGTAGCCAGAAGTTTTCCCACCTACAAGATTCCAGGCAGCAGCAAGCTGTCCGAAGAAAGATAAGACTGAGATGGGAAGACTATTTAGTGCAGCATGTAGGAGCAAAATTCCCCCATGTATAGCAATAACTACATATTTCGATGCTTCATATCCACCACCATTTTTTCCACCTGTGCTAAGGAGAATCATAACCTGAATCAGCTGTGCAAGTGAGAAATCTATACTGGTTGTAACAGCCCACTGCAGATAAGAATGGACGTGAAGTGGTTAGAGCTTATAACAGTGGATATTGAAAGCAATCAAACTCCATCGTGGATTCTTGCTGTACCTGACCAACAATGTTGAACCTGCAAGAACAATAAAATAAAATAAAATCTACTGCATCAGAACATGTCCCAAGGGAAGAGCAACTTTGTTAAATTAAGTGGCCAGTTGTACAAGCTATGTATCTAACTTTCCTCAGACCACGTAACTATATCAGTGATATGAACTCAAAAGAATAAGCTGGTGAAAACCAGTGAATTCTACATAATCCAACTAACATTTTACAATTTACTAAAGTATCTGCTCAAGACAGAATATGGTTCGTTGGCTTAAGTTTCAAAGTGCGGTATATGTTTGTGATTTCAGGTGTTTTACTTGCATTCGCTTTCACCAAAATGAAGGTCAGTGTGAAACCTACATTTCCATGCATTGCCATTTCTTTCTTTCCTTGGAGGCTAAAACTTTTCAACCTACAATCACACAGAAGCCATCTATTATATTTCAGAACATCGTACTATTGTGATTGTTTTGGGCTCATCACAATATTACTATCACTCCAAGGCTGCGGTTGCTAGTTAACCAATTCAATTCGCTGTATAATGGGCAATGTCAAGCATACAATTTCAAGAAACTTCAAGTCTCTGCAGCCTAGAATGTAAAACACACCAGCCTATAAATGGTGCCCACAGTTAAAATAGCAAACATTCTGAAACTGTCTCCCTGAAGGGAAAATAGAGAGCATCAAGCACATTGAGACCCTAACGTCATGGCTGCACTGTGGAAAGTTTTGCACTACCAAAAACGTTCCTTATTATTAATGGTGATTACAACAATAAGGTCGTGAGAAATGAAAGCAAATAAATTGCGAATGCAAAACCACAAAATTCCAAAAGACAATCAAACTTTAAGCTAGCTAGATAAATTAGGAAAGAAAAAAAAATAGTAAACAAGAAAGGTTACCAGCCCGTTATCCAAGATGCAAAGGGTGCCCATTCAGGACCAGCAAGCTTTGCACTCCAATAGTAGAGACCACCAGAAGTTGGATAAGCAGAGCAAATTTCAGCCATTGCTAAACCAACAATCATGGTGAACCCACCAGCTATAAACCACCCATATTGTAATGAAACTGGCCCTCCAAAATTGAGCCCAGTATTGTAAAGTGTGGTTATACCGGTCAACACTGATATGATCGAAAATGAAAACGCAAAGTTCGAAAACACCCTGAAAATTTTTAACCATATCGGTCCAATTCGTTAATATTAATTTTATCATCAGGAGAGCTGGGTTGCCAGGAAAACTTGAAAAAGAAAAAAAAAAAAGAAAAAAAAAAACAGAAAACAAGAAACAAGGATAGGGTTCTTGAGAGATTTACGAGAGATCACGCTTAAGTTCTTGTTTGTAGCCCAGCTCTTTGAGACGGGCAGTGCCTGTATCAAGGGAACCGCTGCCGTTTTGAGCTGTATGCGATGGAAGACCCATGTTTAGACTTACAAAAGAAAGATCACAGAGAGAGACTAAGACAGGGGGTCGAGAAAGAGATTAAGAGGTTGCTTGGTTTTTGCAACCAAACTGAGCAATCTCTCTGTCTTTCTCTCTGCCGTTCCCTCTTTCTTGCAGGTACACAGTTTGTCTATATTTTATTTTTCCTTGCTCTGTTCAAGCAATTTTTTATTGTTAAATATAGTAAAAAAATCACTATCTTCAGTCTTCACTTCTATTCTGGATCGCAGACCAACGACTTTTATTTTAAACCGCAGCTTTCTTAGGGTCAGAGATATGGAGCCTGGCTTTCAAAGACATGACCATTGGAACTGGTAGTGACGTCCGGGCCTTTCATTTCCCACCAAAATTTAACGGGGAAGCCTCAAGCTAAACTATATTATCTAATTTATCAATTCCAAGTCCAAATCTTTTTATTTTGTCATTTTTTTCTTTTTCACAAGTAATCGACACACCAAACAGAATCTCAAATTCGAGTAAATTATAAATTCGTGTTATTAGTTTTGCAAAAACGAATTAAATAAATTTTTTTTTCCTTGAACCGTATGCAATTTATGGAGGCAGTGGGAACCTGAATCATGTACGGTGACCCGAAGTACAGTAATGGGCCCATTAGTTAAGATCCAAGATCACGTGGTCCTTCTTTTCAAAAAAGAATTTCTGAGGATTTATGTTTTGTCCATATTTCCTTCCAAAACTAGTTTTTGTATCATCTCACTTCTAAGGATTCAAATACAGAATTTCTGACCTGGTAAATTTTAAGGATAGAGATAATCATTGTGTTCCTCTTTCAAAAAGAGAAAATAACGATCAATATAATATAATATCCTCTAGCTTTGGATGTACCGTGGCTTTGTCTTGATCAATGGCTTTCCTTTTAGGGTCTAATTAATATGCTACTAATCTGATCATTTTGGAGATTTTTTTAGTAAATAAAAACGGTTGACATCTTTAATTTATTATTATTATTATTGATGTGTCTTCACCCTTTTCATTCCATTGTTTGCTGGGGCTCGAGACTCCTTTTCTTTTCAGCACTCCAAATTAATAATTCCATTGCCAACGCAGTGGCTAATGTCATGAAACTTTCTCCTCTTAAAAAAACAAAAACAAAAACAAAAACAAAAACAGAAACAAAAAACACAAAACAAAACAAAGAATCAGAAAGGAAAACAAACAATCTACTTCAATTTGTTTTGCTTGGTTTGTCCGACAAATGCAACCATTATGTTTATGTTTAGACGTACGGGTGAAAAGAATTCACTTTACATATGTGTAGCATTGTCCCATAATCTCTTATCATCGTAATTGAACAAGGCTTAAAACAAACGCATTTGTGAGATGTTTTGATATCCATTTTCCTAGCTTGCGAGTGGTTTTTCTAATTTTTTTTCTTTTTGGGATTCCTAAGGTATCATACTTTTAAAAACTCAAACTAATCTCTCGATATTCGATCGGACGAACAATACGAGCACAATTATCTAAAAGTTTTCTACATATATAAAAAATCAAATATGAAACTACTTGTTTAAATAACTAGAGTTCTTTTTACTCAAGTCAACTATCTTAAGTTTTTTTAAAAAAATCTTTGATCAATAGTAAAATATATAATAATTAGGTCACCAATAAAAGCAAATGTACTATTCGATTTTTTTTTAATTGCGACTCTCTGTTTTATTTTTTATTTTTATTTATTCAATTGAAATCTTTTATTTTTAGATATTTGTTGATTCAGATACTACTTCATTTCTAAGTTGAATGAACTCCTTCCTTTCTAATTACCATATAAACCAATTGTTTGGGGATGAGCAAGGCTAGCGTGGTTTGTATGCACTTGACGCTTGGTTAGCATGGTACTTTGACCTAACCCTCAGAGTTATTATTCATGCAATTATTTAATTTTCTTATTGGCTAAATGCTAGTCATACATTTTTCTTTTTTCTTATTCTTTTTTCATGCTTCCCCTGTTTTCTTTCCAATAGTCATTCACTTAGCTCAGGAAAGTCCATCACAGTGAAGCTGACGTTGCTAATATATTCATTCGTTATTATCCAGAATCCAAAATAGAATAGAATATACTGCTTTTGATTCAATTTCCTTACTTTTTCCTCATGGTAGACTTTTCCAATTAAATACATCACTGTGATTCAGAACATTGTCATACGTTCGATTTTATAATAACTGTATTCATCTATTTTTTACGTGAAAAACAAAACAAAATTGCAAAAGACAACTAACAAACATTTATTCATTGTTTGCCACAGTTTCTTGATTTCTTCCACCAAATTGATCAAACAAATATAAATGAACTAATTTTATCCATGTTCTAACTCGTTTGAACATTGTTCAAATGGACTTTCTGAATCTACATCAACTTCCTCGCTTTTCTGTTCTCCACTGGGAAATTTTATTCCCTTGTACACCTGATCAATGCTTCTTCCTTCATGATACGAATATCCTTGTTAGAATCAATAGAATTTATTTCTTTCAAGCTTATTTTTCTTTGACTTGTAGCATATACATGCAAGAAAGAAATTAAAATTCCTAAGAAATCATAATCACTCGACGCACATATTTAGCTTTCTACATTGGTTATAGGACCTTTGAACCAATAACGAGCACTCAAGATCCATGAAGAGACAGTAAGGATTAACAAACCACCAACAGCAACAGGAGTGTAATTGAGTGTCTCGTTAGTGATGGGGTAGGCTACAGGCAATGAGAAGAGGATCGAGATGGTTGCTACCCAAAGGACTGCAATCCAGCCAACCAGGACTCCATAGCGACCCAAGTTGAATGGTCCAGGGGCAAAGGACTTGCGTGCCAAAGTCACCCGGAACAAGATGGGTAGGGCATAAGCAATGTACAGTCCAATAGTAGCTATAGATACCATGGCCTGAAATGCCACCTCGCTTCCGAGATACTGCAGAAGATGAGTAGCAAACAAGGGGCACGCAGTTAGCAGTTATAGAAGAAGTAATTAGTTGAATGCATGTGGACATGAGGGGCCAAACGCAAAACTGTGCCCTGGAAAACAGCAAAACTGACATGCTTAACTAGGTCTGTGTCAACTCTACTCAACCAAAAGTTTGTCATTTAATAACATGTCTTAGATTCCTGGGCATTTAAAAGTACAAGTAAATAAGATTGTCATTGCTAAATTTGGTGTACAAAGCAAAACTAATGACAGCTCTAGAATAAAATTTCTTAGGCACATTCATATTAGAAAACCCACATTTCTTGAATTTGCAAAAAACAGAGATATGTTACTGGCAGACCGTAGGACAATAATAAGATTTTTTTTTTTTTTTTTTTTGGCATAAGTTCAGAAAGCACGACAAATACAGCAAACTGGAAATAATGGAAATGGAATACCGTCAATGCCATGCAGAATGATATGACCACAGATAGCCAAACGGCATTTATGGGTACATCCTGATTGTTCACTTTGTGCCAAAGTGATGAGAGTGGCATCGCTCCATCCCTAGAAAACGCATAAGCCATCCTGAGAATGAATATTCAAAGATTGGTTAGAAACCAAAGAAAAATTGTAAACTCGTCAGGAGTTTCAGATAACATGAGGCATCAAACAAGTGAGACTACCTAGAGTTGCTTGTAACTGAACTCATGCCGCAGAAAAATATGGCAACAGCAACCACTCCCAAGCAAATAATTCCCCCAACCCCACTGCCATATCTTCTCTTAAAAGCTAGGTAAAATATTTCAGCAATAGCATAACCACCAGCGTCATTGTCTTTGCTCAAGATGTAAGAGATGTTGGTAACTGCGAAGGTGATACCTAGTATGTAAAACCATCCAAATACAACCGATATTCCGATGGCGCTAATTATTCCTTTTGGTCCATTCTTATCAGCGTTCTTAGTTTCCTCTGTCTAGAAACAACAGTTTAAGGGGAAAAAAATAGAAAAGATTATTTACATACATTCCTCCAATTTTCCATAAAGCAGCAAGAAAGTGAAAAGGGAAGACAATATACCAATGTACTAGTTATTATGCAAGCAAATAATTATATGAGCTCGTAATGCTTTTGAAGAAGGGACTACTTGATTTCAGCAAACTGAATGATCATGGTTTGAGTTTTGAGTTTATAAGTAATTAAACATATATGCGAAAAGTAACACAACATCTGAGATTCCCAGGACTGTGTTCATAGGGATTAGGACTCCGCCTAATACAAAGAGCAATACGACTTACCATATGAGCAGATGCATCATACCCAGTGAGGGTATATTGACTCATCAGAAGTCCCAGAACGAAAATGTAAGCTTTACTATTGATTCCATCCCCATTATCAGTGTTGAAGTGTGTAAACACAAACTTGGCACTAGCCCTCTCCGTTGAAACAAGGGGAATGAGAATCGTAAGAACCACAACCCCTAAAAGTGCAAAGGTTCAGTAAAAATTTTAAAAGGTGGTTGGCTCGAGAGGGAAAAGAGAATCTGTAGCCAGAATTTTTCCTACCTACAAGATTCCAGGCAGCAGCAAGCTGTCCGAAGAAAGATAAGACTGAGATGGGAAGACTATTTAGTGCAGCATGTAGGAGTAAAATTCCCCCATGTATAGCAATAACTACATATTTCGATGCTTCGTATCCACCACCATTTTTTCCACCTGTGCTAAGGAGAATCATAACCTGAATCAGCTGTGCAAGTGAGAAATCTACACTGGTTGTAACAGCCCACTGCAAATAAGAATGCGTGAAGTTTTTTAAAGCATATTTATAACAGTGGATAATGAACGCAATCAAACTCCAGTGTGGATTCTTGCTGTACCTGACCAACAATGTTGAACCTGCAAGAAAAAATAAAAACAAAAACAATCTAGTGCATCAGAACATGTCGTAAGGGAAGCCCAACTTTTTTAAATCAACGAAAATTCTGAGAACCTGTCGTCTTTGTTGTTCATATAACACAAAAATTATAAGATATATGTTATATTATATCGGAGGCTTATTAAAAAATGGGGAAGGAATTTTTTTATGTACGTTTTCTATTCCAACAAGGATCAAAAGTCAGATGTGGTTGAGATTTCAGCAATTAAGAAGGCTTTGGAATTCAATGCTGATTCTATCTACACTCATCTGGTGACCTGGAACATTGAATCGGATTTGACAAATGCAATTCCTTGGACGAACAAGGATGTTACATCTGGACCTTGACGGGCTTCAGAATAGATACTCTTAATAAATTCTTTGACCCCTATTTCATTTAGCCACATTCTTCGACAAGGATGTTCAATGGCCAACCCTTTAGCCAAAAGCAGCCTACATAGAACGGGTGACTTTATAGGTTGGCTATAGTGTCATATTTTTTCTATTGATCTCTGGGTTTTTCAGCTTTTCTGTAATAATTCTTCAATTTTGTCAGCAACCAGCTGACTCTTCCATTCTTAATCTAATATTGATTGTGCGCGTGCGCTTGTGTGTTATCTTTTGGTTTAAATATAAATTTTTTGCCAAATAAAATAGGACAGTTTTGTCAAACTCCATGAATGTTCATCTCTATTAATTACATAAATAAAAATATTTAAGAAGTCATTTCATTAAAAAGCTGGTGACTAAATTTGAATTTAAAATATCAAGTTGAATGAACTCCTTCCTCGCTAATTACCATATAAACCAATTGTTTGGGGATGAGCAAGACTAGCATGGTTTGTATGCACTTGATGCTTGGTTAGCATAATACTTTGGCGGAGCCCTCAAAGTTACTATGCATCCAATTATTTTATTTTCTTATTGGCTAAATACTAGTCATACATTTTTCGTTTTTTTGGTGCATCATCATGCTTTATCCGTACCTAATTTCCATACATTTTGTTTAGCATATTGAACCTAAAGTGTATGTTGGTTATTAAAAATAAAAAGTTTAGAATGAAAATATAGAAATCGAAATAATATTCGCATTCTCATATTATGTTTGAAATAATAATAAAAAATCTAAATAAAATCTAAATTGTTTAATATCTAATTTTTAATATGAATGAAAATAATAATTAAAAAAATAATTTCATCAACTATATGACAATAAAAATAATAGAGGTTATTATGATAATGGTGATAGTGGAATAGAAGGAGAATAACAAGGAGGTAATAGTAATGACAAGAATACATTTAAAAAAAAAATTGATACCATCACCATTGAGGTGACAATGAAAAACAAAAAGTAATAGTACAATAAAAGTGACGATGTTAGTGAAAAAGGAAAAATGATGATAGAATAATAATTATTATTATCGTTGATGGTGGTGATGATAGTAGTATAATAAAAGTGACAATAGTGAATAAAGAAGAATGGAGGTAGAATAATAATAATAATATTTTTATCACCATCGTCAATAATAATGGTTGTATAATAAAAGTAATGGTGACGAGTTGAAAATGAATTGTGACAAAATAATAATAATAGCTTCTTTTTTTTTTTTTGAAATTTTTTTTATTGCTATCACCAATGGAGATGGTGATGGCAGACGAAATAATAATAATAATTTTATAACTATTGTCAATGAAAATAGTGGTAGTTGTTATAGTGATAGAAGTAATTCATACACAATAAATAAAAATAACATATTATTATTTTGAAAAAAAAATACATTTTCATTCTCTATTTTTTTCCCACCTTTCACATGAAACGAAACCGTATAACTTTTATTTTTATTTTCATTTTTCATTCATAGTTTTATTTTATTTTTCCGATCAAAAAACTATAATGTAGGAATAAAATTTTCATCTTTATTTAAATCCTTATATTTTTATAATTAAACAGCTCCTAAAAGGATTTAATAGAAAATATCTTAACGATGTTTCTTTGGAGACATGCTATTTCTCACCCCCATTCCATTCATTTCATGCACTATGCCAGTAATTGTGACTACACAAAAATAAATGGTCGAGAGTTTGAATTGTAATTGTCAAGATGGTCCCTACTATTAAATTTCATATATCTAATCAATACGGACACCTTTGTTTCATATCCAATTCAGAACCCAGACCCTCACGCTGATTCCGAAAAAAAAAAGGGCCAATCAATCATGAATGAATGCTAACTTGTTTGCGTTCGGTAATGAGACAAATGAAGAGAGATCAAGAAAAGGAGAGCAAGACACGTGCTTTCCCTTCTCTTTCCGTGACATATTACAGTGAAAAGACGGAAAAAAAAAACCCCAATCAATCATGAATGCTAACTTGTTTGTGTTCGGTAACGAGACAAATGAAGAGAAACCAAGAAAAAGAGAGCAAAACACGTGCTTTCCCTTCTCTTTCTGTGACATATTACAGTTCTTGAGGAACTTCTAACTCTTAGACAAAATGGTAGTGCAGTTGAGTGCGAGCGAGCGAAAAAACGTCACAACATTTGCTAGACAAAAATTCTACGACGGCATGAGAAAATTTTATAATACATAAAGAGTAATTAGTGGTATATATAATAGTTATTTTTTAGATTCACTTTAAGGAGAGGGATAGACACATAAAAAAAATTACATCCATATCTACCAAAAGTCGATAAGAAAATTTTCATGTTCTGTTCAAATTTTTTTATTTTCTTTTTTATTTTTCTCTCTTTTTATGTGTTTATCTCTCTATTCAAAATGGATATAAAAAGCAACTACTCGTATATGTCACTAATTACTCTTTTATGTATTATAAAATTTATCCGAGCGGCATGGAAGCGACTACTTGCAACTAATCGCCTAATTCTAGACTGGGAAGTGTAAACACGTATCAAGAACAGTTTTTTGAGGCTCAATATTGATAACTCAAAGCCGAAAAATTGGAAATATAAGATGGAAGTTTTGAGCTGCACATTTAAGATGGCTTTCACTCCTCTTTTTAGCAAGCCAATCATATACTCACGATGAAGAAATGAAAAGGGCAATCCTATAAATCTAAATCGAGTAAACAGCTTGTAGCCCCAAGCGGTACTTTTGCAAAATATGAGCGACCATGTATAGGGTGAGACCCTTCTCAACTTCAGATACATTTCCCAAAATAAAAAATTTATAAAATCAAAATAAATAAATTAAAATAATTTTTTTTTTGTTATTATAAATTATAAACACCATTCAAAAGTTTAAAATTTTAACTAAAATTCTTTTCATATTCCAAAAAAATATTATAAATATTTTATTTTATTTTCAAAATTTGTTTACTATCATAAAAATAAGTTTAAACCCATAAACAAAATTTGACAAAAAAAAATATTTTTATCTTCACCTTTTTTTTTTTTAATTTTTAGATAGAATGATGAAATATATCTTTATTTTTTTTATTGTTCGAAAGTCATTTGAATTCAATAAAAAAAAGATTAAGACGAAAAAAAAGTAAAATGACGAGATTAAGACAGAAAAAAAAACTTGACGTGTGTTGTAATCTTGTAAAACTAATAGTGTGATGTAATATCTAAGACAGAAGCCATACATAAAAAGAGTAAAAAGATCCAGTAACCAATAACCCACTGCTAAAGTATTGAAGCTCATGAGCAAGTTGAAAATATCTTATATTCAGGTCCTGCATTCGGTCCATTTTGGACTTTTGATTGGTCAAGCCCTCCAGGATTCTATTTTCACAGATTGGGCCTTAAAACAACACTACAATGGGCTAATGGCTTCAGTTGAGCTGCCAAGACTTTTTGTCTTTAATTGGGTCCTGTCAACAATAAAGCATCAAACCACAGAGAGTGGAGCAGACTGGGCTGGACTGGGCTAATAATAGCCTCAGTTGGTTTCAAGATAACTAAAGCATGTCGATTGGCATTTGACAAAAATCATATGCGATCAGAAAATGTTTTTCACGGCCCAATTTCAAAGGTCAAACTCAAAACTCATCTCTATCAAACCACAACCACACTTGATGCTACAACTTCAAAGACCAAACTTTAGTTTTTATTTAAAGGATAAAGAGATCGCGTTTTATCTAGCTTCCATCTAATTATTCTATGCTTTCGTTGCAAAAAGAATAAGTTTTCCAAGTTTTTACTCGATTCCTTATAGTTATTCTTTTACTAATAAAGATCTCAGGCTTAAATTCGTAGATAAACAGACCGTAAGAACTTTATCAACTAATTTATGATTAAAAAAAAAGGGAGAAGAGTCGAAAGGAATAAAAAGAGTACCACATATCCAAAAAGAAAGATAGAGAAAGAGAAGAAGAAGAAGAAAAAAGAAGCAGCGTACCAGCCGGTGAGCCAAGAAGCAAAAGGACCCCAATCGTTGCCACAGAGCCTTGCACTCCAAAAGTAAAGCCCTCCAGAAGTAGGATAAGCAGAGCAAATCTCAGCCATTGACATACCCACGATGAGGGTCAGCATGCCCACTATTGGCCACCCGTATACCATCGTAATTGGCCCACCAAAGGTTAGACCCGAGCTGTACATTGTTGTCAGACCAGTGAGGACTGACACAATGGAGAAGGTGACTGAAAAATTTGCCATTAGCCTACACAAATCACAGCATAAACAAGCCACATTCAGCAAACAAGAAAAGATACATGGGAAAATTAAGTTATCAAAGACATGGTTGAGGAAAGGATATACGCACGACAGGGCACGGCTGAGTTCTTGCTTGTAACCCAGCTGTTTGAGTCGATCGTCATCTTCACCATGAACAATGTCATCATCATTTTGAAGGGTGAGATAAAGACCTGCCGCATCTTCTTCCAGATTTCTCATTCCGCTTCCCATCTTTTCAGAAGGTGAAAAGGAAAAGTATGATGTTTTGTTTCAGTATTTCTTGGAGATAAAACATCCACTGATGTTATAACTAGGGAGTTTGGTTGATGTGAAGATTAAGCAATTCCAATCTAACAGTCAAACAGACAAGCAACTACTTATTGAGAAATTATCCTAGGGTCTTGGAATTTCAGATCAGAAAAGGACTCCTTTCATTCATTATATGTCATTGTAAATTTTTACAATGTGTTATAAAATTTGAAAATTTTTTATCCCATTAACCTACATCTTTTGACTAAAAAAAAAAAAAATCATTCATCTTCTCCTTCATCCCCCGTCTCTCTCTTTTCAACAGCTTGCTACCTAACTCCTCCTTCGCCCCCCTCTCTCTCTCTCTCTCTCTCTCTCTCTCTCTCTCTCTCTATGGGTGGCTTTATCTTCGTCGATCTCCTAGGTCTTCACCCGGCCCAATTCCACAAAATAGTGTCCCATTCTAGTCATTTAAATAACACACCAAAGTTTTTTCTACAAAGTACTGTAGATCTTAAAAGGGCTACACAAGCCTTTTGACAATAAGGAAATCATTGTCATAGTGAGAAAATAGCCCATATAAAGAGAATTGTGGTACCTTTCAAATCTTTCATATCTGCATTTGTTTTCATCAATAGTAAAATGGCTTGATTTTGTCAGAAAAAATATCATAATAAATTATCACCCAGATGACACGTTACGGACAATATATGTTGTTACCGGAAGGGTATTAGAGGAAGCAATAGTCAAATACTACGATGAGCATATCGGACGTTGCATCGCGCTTAGAGTGCAAATGGAATTCATAAATAAATATGAAATGTAAGCAACGGAACTATTGCTCTATGGATAATGTCTTGATCAATTCTTCAAATTAATTTTATAGAAGAGCATTTATCTAGATCCTATCAAATTGTCACTAATTGACAAACACAAACAACATAGCGCATGTCAATTAAGAGCAATAAAGCAATATCGAGTGTAGAAAATATGAGTAGTGAATTACTATGCGAGCATAGCAATTTGGATGGCGAGATCCCGACATTCCATACCAGAGCACACAGAGAGAGAGATGGAGCCACCTACAGAGAGAGAGACGACGGAGGAAGGAGGAGTTGGGCGGCGAGCCACCGGAGAGAGAGAGAGAGACGGGGGATGAAGGAGAAGATAAAGGGTTTGTTTTATTTTTCGGTCGGAAAATGATGGTTAACGGGAGAAGAAATTTTCAAATTTTAAAAATGTTATCCTACATAACAAAAATTTATACGTGGCACACAATGAATTGAAGGGGTCTTTATCTAATGTGGAATTCCGGGACCCCGGATAATTTCTCCTACTTATTATAGTTTTCTTGCCTTCGACGTCACTTGATTTAGCTATTCGCGAGGAGGTCGTAGTTAAATGTGTTACGGTTTCCCATGTGAATAGAAATACTAGAAGGATCAAATCCATTTCGATATTGAAGAGCACATGATGTCTTTCCTTATTGTTCCCTAGTGTTTTTTAATTTGGATTTCCAAAAGATATGAATTTATTTTTTATTTAAATTCGACGTGATTCTAGCATTTAAGACTTACGTGAATCTCTTATTAGTCTTACCAAGATTTATATTGGCATTTTCAAATTTAAAAAATCATACGTAAATCAAGTATGATATCCTCTTACAATGAAACGATAAGACCTAAATGAAACAATACATTTGGTCTTATAGTCAATCAAGTTTCGACGAAACAATGAGATTTAAATGAAATGATGTATTTTTTTTTTATAACCAATCAAACTCGATGAAACGACACAAGTTGAATGAAACGACGCGTTTAGTCTCATAATCACCCGGATTCGATAAAGAAACATGTTTAAAGGAAACAAATGGACGAGTTACCAATAACTACTTGCACCCAACTTCAAGTCTAAAGCAATTATCGATCGTGAGCTATTTAAAGAAGAGAAACTAATAGAATCGGACATTGCAATCAACATATAAGACTTTTTCAACATAATTTACTCAAGATTTCTAGTTTATCCTATAACAATTAACTTCTATATTCCTGCAAGTAGTTCAATAGCCTTTACTTGTTTTCAATAGTTTTGTTACTATAATCTAGAAAGTGTTGATCTATCCCCGATTATGGTCAAATGACAAGTTCGATGTCTAATTATGCAAGTGTCATATCTTCCAACTTATGATATTTACACTTTTTTCAATGAGTTTTTCCTTTTTCAATTGATGAAATTCTATTTATCATTTGAGTGTTATTTTTTTCGATTAATAACATTCCTTTTATTTTATCTTTTTCTTTAAATTGAGTACTCACCGAAAGTCCTAATGGCTTGCTAGGTAAAATCAAATCTTATATTATTTCATCATAAAGTTCTCGATCATAAATTAGAGCATTGACACTGCTTCACTATGAGATTGAATTCAATGAGTAGCAATAGGTTTTGACGATCACGGTAGGAGAGTAATAGCAAAACGTGGTACTATTAGAAGTATGACGAGATGTCAACTCTCTACAGATGATCGAATCGATAAAACACTCCTCGTTTCTATTAAAGATATGGTCCAAATTTTTAAAAGTGAACCTCTAATGGAAACCATGAAAAACCGCAATCGCAAGGAAACCAAGATCGATAATAAGGCAAAATCTAAAAATGTAACGGACAAAGGGTAACTCGATAGTCGAAATAGGTTCGATGTCGAAAGTTAAGAACGTATGGGTTTAGAAAGTGATGGTTCCATAAATAGAAACCATGAAATTAGGGAACAAACATCAAAAGAATGGGTGGTTAAATTTTAACGGATGTTGTCGATTAGACTAAAAAATTGATAAAAATATATATACAACCCATCTTTAAATAACGACGATCAGATAAATTGACAAATACAATCGATGTTGAACTAATTTAAGAAGGATATCAACAAAATAAGAGCTTTCATAACTCGATTCATCAAAGAAAAATAGTGAAATTATTGATAACAATACTATCAAACTATTGGATTGTATGTGTTACTAAGGTGACAAAGTGATTACAAATGTAAACTACCTGTTTAATAAAACTATTACTCAATTGGTAGGACAAGTTATCAAGGAAGTAGAGATTGTCATCAAACCAAGATTTGAAACAACCGCAAACGCTACTCGAATAATAAGAGAAGATGCTCGACGGCTTGTGTTTTGGCGAAGGAAAAAGAAAATAGCCCGTTGAAGAAAGAAATTTCAACATTAATAGAGAAAAATGACCATCAACAATCAGTTCGATAGAAATTCTTTTGAGTTACCTACATTATGTCCCTAATAGACTATTGGATACTAAAAATGGTCATGATGTGCCACATAATATTAATGAACTGGCTAATTATGGCCAAACTAATGGTTATTTATCTTGGGTACCTCATGTGGTTATGTCGATTCAACATTATGGCCTTTCTTCAAACATAACCATAAGGATAACTAGTTTTTCACCATAAAATACGCCAACTATGACCGTAGTTAGAGGAAACAGTTTGACACCATATTCTATGCTTGGAAATACATATGGATAAATGAATCAATAAGTTTTTTGGTTAATATGACGGACGGGATATATGGATCTGTGAATGCACAAGGTTAATCATCATATTTATCAAAAGCAATATTCATATTACATCGATAGGGAATATCCTTTTCTCGGAGGATTTTGAGCTACTTAATTTGTCCTTTTTTTCTAGAGAGGATAATGTCTCTGCTCCGAACCATGTTGTCGATTTACCTTTTAATATGAGGAACTATCAAGAGATGATTTTTTGAAACTTCAACTCTTTCCCGGTTCTTTAACTTCTGCAGCATTCACTTGTTATATCAATTTATTACCAAATTCCATCATTACCTAGTGGAATATGTAGAATGCATTTCAAACACGATTTTCAATAACGGACCCTAAGATTTTAGTGGCGGATATAGCAAGATTGAGATAGTTTCATGGCGAATCCGTAGAATAGTTTTTTTCAAGGTTTAGAAGAGCCGAGTTTGATGCTAAGTCAATTTACCTAAAAGTGAGTTTTTACGCTTTGCACGGGACGGATTAGATTTCGCACTTAGAAAGAAATTTTGAGGGCATGGTGTTTCGGGATCTTTACGAACCGATGGAAATAAGCATCAAGGTTGGAAGCAATTCTTCAAAAAGAATCACTTTAAAAGAGTACCATGGCTAGAACATATTACTAAGATTCTACCGTGGTCGATGTCAATTTCAAAGAATATGTTAAAGAAAAGCCAATAATTTATAAATAGTTGACTCAAAAGAATGTACAAGCTCTTACGAGTTTTAAGTCGAAGAAAGATCGTAAATATTTTTTTGATCTTGATAAAACAGATATGATCTTTAATTGGTTTTTATCAAATAATAGGATTAGGCTCAAAGGAAAATACAAATTATCAATTTTAGAAGAGTTCAAAAAATGAAAATTTTGTAAATGACACGATGTTCCATCCCATTTAACTAATAATTACGTTTTACTTAGAAATTTAATTCAAGACTTCATATAGTTAAAAGAATTAACTTTTTGTATTAAAGAAGAAATTATTAAAGTTGATAGAAATCTTTTTCTTAAAGTCGTCGAGGTTCTAAGCTTTGATGGTTTTTATTTGTCCGATTTGCAAGCAACAACTTGCAGTGTTAAAAGCCATAAAAATGCTACTCGGCTTTTTCAAGCAAAAGAGTTCTTTGATTTCCTCTTTTGAGAACTCAAAGCTCGACCATTACTACAAATGATATATTACTATTCCGTATACGACGGATAGGTGCTATCACTTCATGCGATTTTTTAAATGGTCATAGAGATTACAACTAGTATGATCTAACCCATGAATATAAAGTACCTTTGTTTCTTTCTTCACTTGGGCCATATACATATGTTGACAAGGTTAAGAATTAGTAGAAGGATCGTAAATTCAACTTTAAAAGAGACATTTTGGCCCACAAATATGGCCAAGACTAGTTGA